CTGATGAAAGGAAATGCGGATAGGTCTCTTGTGATACAAAGGTGAATGATTGTTACCAGGACTGATTGTGAAGGTTGTAAATGTAGAAGTAGACATGTTTTGGCAAGGAGGGGAGTGATTAACTTTGCAGGCTAGGAGCAGAGGTCCCTGGAACCATGAAGGGAGAAGAGTGGAGAGCAGGACCCTACCCAGAGAAGCAGCAATCCCCGAGATGGAGGCAGAGATGATGACGTGGAGAGATGGAGCAGCTGGAGACTCGGGACCCAAGGAGGAAGAGGGGCTGTGTGCTACGACTGGGGGGTGGGGTGGGGAGTGGAGCAGGCTTATAGAATGTACCTTTTTGTTGATTGGTGATGCTGATGCGTGGAAGGGATTATATTTTTAAAAAAGCAATATGGAATACAGAATGAAAAGGACTAAGTTTTTCAGTAGCAACTGGGAGTGAGAATGTGTTAGAGAGAAACCCTTGAGTAGGCTTTGATGTTGCTTAGTGCCATCAGGGTTGATTCTGACCCATAGTGAACCGTGTATAGGGTTTCTGAGGAGTGGCTGGTGAGCTTGACCAGACTGACTTTTCAATGTAGTATGTTAACACACAGCGCCTCTCCAGGACTCCTTTGATAGGTGAGGGAATTTGAAAGGTGGAGCAGAATTAGCAAATTCATGGAGGAACCTTAATTTGGACCAGAGCAGAGTTCCTATGTTGGGAAGTAACCAGGCATAGGTTGAATTGGATAACTTTTAAGGTGAAACTCCTCGTTTAAGAGGTGGCTTAAAATGCTTAGATAAGTATAGGTATTACTATTTAGTAAGTATAGGTATTCTGTTCAGTAATTGCATAATAAATCATCCTGAAACAATGAGCTAAAACAGTATAGCAGTCACTTGTTATGCTTGTGAACGTAGAGATTGAGTTGTTAAGTGGCATTGAGTCGATTCTGACTCATAGCAACCCTGTATAGGGTTTCCAAGGAGCAACTGGTGAGCTTGAACCACTGACCTTGCAATCTAGTGCATTAACCCACAGCTCCACACCATTCAACTCATAGCTAGCAAGTAAACAGGGACCTAGAGATTAAGTAGTATATTTATTTTCAACTCCCACCAACTATTGACTTACAACAGCACCCGTAAAAAACTCACAGTTGTATAGGTCAGAATTCAAGGAAAGGTGGGGCTGGGCTCACTGCTGCAGTCAGTGGGTCAGGCAGATTGCATTATTGGCTGGGGCTCTGGGGAAGGAATCCACGTCTGAGTTTATTCAGATCATTGACACAATGCACTTTCAATTGTAAGACTAAGGTCCCTGTTTACTTGCTCGCTGTCAGCTGGGGGGTCACTCTCAGCTCCTAAAGACCCCCCCCCTCCTGTATTTCTTGCTACATGGCCTGCAAAATCATACTTTAGTTCTTCAAAGACAGCAACAGAGACTTTTTGTACTTAAAAATCCTTATGTACACCCCTTCCATAAGAGAGAGCAAGCATAGATTTTCCGTTCACGGTCTTAATTTCCCATTTCTGACTTACTAAGTATATTATATTATATGTCTTTAATAGGGAGGGAGCTGCTTGAAATCTATTTTGGACAGAATGAGATTAATAGGCTAATTTGATCTATTTTGGCAGTAAATTCTCCTAGCATGTTATATGGTATTATAGGTAGTACACTATAATATTGATATCTGAGCTCACCTCAGGTTTGGCTCCTAAATGAGGAAAACTTATTACTGGAATTTCTCTCGGAGAACATCTTGCAAATTAATTACATTTACTCTTTCCTTATACTAGGGGAAACTGGAAGAGTGTCTAAAGCAGCTAAAGGAGGAGAGAGTAATACGACTTAAGGCAGATAGACGAGTCAGTGAGGTAAGCAGAAGTGTTTTCCTTATACTTTTTTGTTGTTTAGATTTCATTTCATTTGCACCATACACATATGCACACATTTTGTAAACTTGAAAGCGTTTTGGATATTTGAGAAAGTAAAAGTTTACTTGAGAAAGTCTTATAAATTAGTTACCTCATGCTCACCTTTATATTTACTTGTATTTAGTGAGCATGTGGCATGCATTCCAAAAAGCATGTTTTTACAAACATAAAAGCCTCAGAAGTTTATATTGGTTTGTTTGTTTTTTCTGTGCTTTTATAGGACTTCTGTGTATTTTCTGTTCAAGATGCTTTAATGCAAGGAAGCACTTATAACGGGTAGTCAAAATCTGGGAAATGAAAACAAACACTGCAAGCAACCATAAAAAGAAAAAAAGCAAACACTTGTTAGGCTTACACTGTACATACGATAACATAAAAAATGTGATAATGAGGCTCTCCATTGACGGTGAATTAGGAAAATGAATGGATAAGTCTAAGACAGTGGAAAACTGCTAAGAATGCAATCAAAGATACATAACAAGCTATACTTTGAAAACCCGGCAAGACACACTGGAAATTCTTTATACTATCACAAGATGAGTTAGAGGAAGACTTTTTGAAAGGGTCCTGGACTGGATTGAGTGACATAGAGTCATTTAATAAATAGTGAGCACCTGTTTGTATAAGATAAAAGGTGTATCGTGAACAAAATGGCCTTTCTGAGAAGTAAAGTTGGGCTTATGAGTGGTATTAGATAAAAAGATGATAGCAGGTGGGGGAATAAATAATTTTTAGTAGCCAAGGAGTTACCAAGCAGCCAGAATAACCAGAGATGCCCAGCTGCCAGAATTGAACCTTTTGATACAAGATTTCATACAAAAATCCTGACTAAAAGGGGGAAAAAGCAGAAAAGATTTCCAATTCCTGTGGGCTCCAAACTCTGGAGCCACGGAGGAAGGATGAACTCTGAAACTATTGCCCTGAGATCACCTTTAAACTTTAAACCAAAACATACCCTGGAGGCTTCTTACAACCAAACCATAGTTTTACTTAACTAGTTTAAAAAAAAACGAAAAGAAAAGATCTGCCTTCAGCATTGTGCTCTTTCAAGATCTATCCATACAGAATCAAACTGACAACAGTAATTAGAAAGGTTACACAGGACACTTGGCGGACAGTGAATTTATGTTAATGGAGAGGAACCATTCAGAAAAGAGGGTAAGGATAGAGCTGCACAACTCAAGGCATGTAATTGATGTCAGTTTTTTCTGTAGATACTGTTGAATCAGTGTATAATTGTTGTGTACTTTACATTCTCAGTAGCAGCAAAATAAAATTTTTAAAGAAGCCAATGGGAATAATAATTGCATACCTAATAAGTTAGATATGATTTAAGACTTTTAAACGTACATACTGCATATTGTACTCTCTAAAGTTAATCCTTAACATTCAGCAGAATTACAAAATGTAAATTAGACTCTCTGTTATTTTCCTACTTGGGAATCTTAATCAGCTAATTTTCTAATGCAGAATGAAGACGTGTCTACATGTAACCAGTTAGAACTGGGACTCTGTAATCCTGGTTGATCCCGACACTCACCACTTGTTATATAGGAAATGTCGTCAAGTGTCTCTGGTTTTTGATTGTTCTATGATCGTCTCTACTGGTAGAGAGTTACAGTAATTACTGATGCATTACCTCTTTAAATGTGTTAGTTTTGTGACTTAAAAAACTTGATTTTGATGGCAATGAACTAAAACGGTGTTACACATTTCTAATCTTCTTTTACAGCTGGAATATGAAAATGCCAAGTTAAGAAATATAAATTTCTCTTTATCTGAAGCCCTTCATGCACAGTCAGTGACCAGCATGATCCTGGATGATGATGGTGTTTTGCGCAGCATTGAGAACTCTTTTCAGAAGTTCCATGCTTTCTTGGATCTCCTTAGAGATGCTGGGTTAGTTCATTACTCCCCATGCATTCTTCCGTCTAAGACTCTAGTGGTGGCTGCTGGGGGATTTGAGTGCTTTTCATCCTTCCATAAGCCATATTTAGTATGTAATTATAGGTGATATATGCATGTTTTATGAGAAATTAATTTTAAAATAAATGCAAAATGGCCTACCTACATAGTCAGAGTAGAGAGCCCCTTACAAAAGAGGATCCTTTATATAGAATAAGTGGTAGGTATAATTCTTGGTAAAGATGAAATTGAAGCTAATTTCAACTGAAAATATTCAGGAATATATAGGTATTTCCCAACCTTTTATTCATTTTGCATGCTAATTGAGTTTGAATTAGAGTTAATTTTGTCCATGGCATAAAAACTGTTATTGTTAATATGAAGGGCAGATAGATACAGATCATGGTTCTCACCTGGGAGCAATTTTGCTGAAACAAGATGCTGAAAGAGCTGAAGACAGGGAAAGCAGGAATAGACACCACATTTGTGGAGACTGGAGGAAAGGCAAAAGGTTATTCAACATGTGGGGGCAGAAGTCAAGGGACTGACTAGGTGTCTAGTGAAAGTTGAAGCTGATATTGAGCTAGTCTCTCTATAAGTGGAGAGCTACTAGGTAAGGATTCTTGAAGTTGGTTAGTATTTAATACATTGTCAGAAGGAAGAGGGCATACTTAAAGGATTAGACTTGACGGGTTCCCACTGCATGGATAAGTGAAGGTCTGAGAAATTGAGAGGGATGGAGGGTGTAGACTGACGTAAGAGATCGGCTTTTAAAATTTTAGAAGTATTTCAGGTATAAGGAAATCAAAGTTGTTCTTAGGTGATTATAATGAATCTTGCTTTTTCCTCTTTCCCTCCTCTTTTCTAGCCTTGGACAGCTTGCCACAATGGCTGGTATAGATCAGTCAGATTTTCATTTACTAGGTCGTCCCCAGATGAACTCTACTATTAGTAATGCGCCTAAAGATGAAAAAAAGGCACTTGAAGAAGAAAAACCAGAATCCGAGCAGAATGCCCTGGGACAAGTACAGAATATCCAAGTAAGTGCCCAGAACAGTACTTACTGATTATGAGAGTGACTAACAGAAAGGGAATTATCAAATCAGAAAGAAAATAACATTATTTCTAATAGTTCAGTTGGTTGGGGTCTAGAAGCTTCTTTGGGGCCCTTTTCAAATCTGAGGTCAGTTATTTTAAGCTCACTTCCTGATAAGTTGTTCTTTTGAAATTTTATGATCTAAAGCAAACTACCCTCAGTGAACAAAGAAAGAAAAGACTAGAGACAATATTCCAAATTTAAAATTTTGAAAATGTCTATTCTATTCATATTTCATCTAGGTTTCTATTTGTATGCAGTCAGCTTACAATGAAGGAACACTAATGAAGGTACAAGTACGGACAGATATTCTTAAGTATAAGTAATCCCACAGAATTCATAGGCATTACAGTATAGATGGAATCCTGGTGCAGCACTGTAGGATCAGCACCACTAACCAAAAGGTCGGCAGTTCAAAGCACCAGCTGCTCCTTGGAAACCCCTACATAGAGTCGCAATGAGTGAGAACTGACTCAAAGACTGACCACCTGGTTATAGAATTGGTGGGGGGTGCCTGCTCCACGATAGGAGTCCCTTCTGCTTTTCCTGGAGCTCCCAAGTCCCCTCTCAACCATCTCCGGCGTAGCTGGAGAACTGACCCCTTGAACACAGACTCTGGCCACAGTGGATACTGGTCACATACACCTGGAGGACAGAAAACAAATTAATTTTCCTAGAGAATGGAATTTATTTATATGAGGGAGATTAATAATTACCCAACACCACTGCCCTGCTAACTGTAAGGTCAGTGGTTCAAATCCATCAGCCGCTCCTCATAAACCCTATACAGGATCACTATGAGTCAGAACCGACTTGATTGCACTTCACAACAAAACACAACAGCCTGAAAATCTGGTGGGAAAGCTTTGGTAGCTATAATTAAGTCAAGTTGGAAACCACTTTTCAAGATAAAGAAAAAAAATGTTAATGACACTAAAACCTTCTGAGTAATCACTTGACTGACTTAGTGATAAAATCACAGGCTGACACTGAAGTCTGGACTCTGCTTTACTTTCTACTGGTTGTCTTTGTGCATCACTGAATGTTTTGTTTTTCCTTCCAGTTTCAGAAAATTACGAGTGGTGCTAGAATTCCTTTGCCTGTGGACCCCTTCCCTGTCCCAGTTTCTACTCAGGAGGCCTTAATAACTTCCAAAGACAACTTGGATGGCCCTGGTACTGAGCAGCAGCAAGGGTCTTTTGAAGAATTCCTTCCTAGAGCATGTTCTCCAACAGATGTGATTCCTGGGACTGGAAGTCAAAGCAAAGAGGAGGAGCAGTCCAGAAGTAGCAGATCTTCTGTAGAGAAAATGACCAAAACAAATGAATATACCAAAAAACACTTTGCTAAGAAACAACATGGAACAGATCTGCATTTCTACTCTAACTCTACTGTAAACCGCAAGAGCAAAGGAATCGGAGAAAATAGTTCTTTGATTAATGAACCAATGAAAAGTGAGCCTTTGAAAAAACACACATCTGCCAAGAAAGAAAGCGGGATAGTGACTGTTTCATCCAAAACAAATAAAGATAAACCGAGTCCACTAGAACATTCTGAAAGCGATACTCTTGGATCTGATTTTGAATTTCAAGACAGTATCCATACTCTATCACGCCTGACATAGGTCTGAATCTTTTGAAATTATGTTTTTGCCTTCAAATTTCAATAAATTTTCTTACATTTTCATCTTGGCATGTGGTGTTTTAAAATATAGGACTGGAAGCTGCTCGTGAAAGATTTATCTCTACTTTTTATTGAACACCTGATATGATTGATTCTGTATGCTGTAGCTTTCAACGGTTAACAAAACAACCTCTACCTCATGGAACTAACACTCTAGAATTAAAGAGATCTGTGGAGGGTGAGAGAAAAAATGAAATAGTTTTGTCATCTAGTTAAATGTGAAAAGAATTTAAATCACATGAACAGAATCATTGATCTATCCTTATTAATAAGCACAGCATCAAACATTGAGGTGTGTTGTTTGTTGTTGTTAGGTGCCATCGAGTTGGTACCAACCCATAGCGACCCTATGCACAGCAGAATGAAACTGTGCAATCCTGGGCCAAACTCACTACTGTTGCCACATTTGGCCAATCCATCTCGTTGGGGTCTTCCTCTTTTTCTCTGACCCTCCACCTTACCAAACATGATTTCCTTCTCCAGTGACTGGTTCCTCCTACAGTATGTCCAAATTATGAGAGACGAAGTTTGGCCATCTTGGCCTCCAAAGAGCACTCTAGCTGCACTTGTTCCAAAATGGACCTATTGGTTCTTTTGGCAGCCCGTGGCACTTTCAATATTCTCCTCCAACACCACAACTCAAAAGCATCAACTCTTCTACGGTCTTCCTTATTCACTGTCCAGCTTTTTCATGCATATGAGGTTATTGAAGATACCATGGCTTGGGTCAGGCGCACCTTAGTCCTCAA